ACTACAAATATGTCTAAATTCATATAATTTTGGTTTAACTTCTGCGTAAAGGACTTTATGTAATTTCAGTGCTTATCTCCATTAATGAGAGTGGAATATTTAATGTAAATGTGTATATAGAACATGAAAACAGAGCTTAAAATCTTTGTTTTTACTTCATTCATTTTCTCACTCCAGGAAAAGGAGTTTGTACGCATGGGTCAGAGTTTACGTGCAGTTGCGCAAATTTTCTAGTCAAGTTTGTTTTTATAAATCCCAACTTTTGCGTAGGAAGTGGCGTACGCCTCTTTCAGGGCTGGTTTTGTGCGTACGCAACAGTTATAAATGAGGCCCCTGGACATTTCTTTCTGTTACCCATCAATGTTAATGTGGTAAATAATTTGTTATTTTATTCGTAATTTACAGTTTTATTATTCATAATAGTCAAGTCAAGTCAAGTCACCTTTATTTATATAGCGCTTTTAACAATACAGATTGTGTCAAAGCAACTGAACAGCATTAATTAGGAAAATAGTGTGTCAATAATGCAAAATGACAATAGTAAACACTAATTTTCCAGTTAAAGACAGTTCATCATTGAATTCAGTGATGTCTTCATTAATGATAATATCATAATAATGATATTACATTACATTCATGTTTATTATGATATTACTTATATTAAAATTAATTATCAATATTAACAGTATTTGTATTCATAATCTGCTCTTGTAGCCCCACACTACAACAAATTTAATGTAACCTCTAGTTTAATGAAAACCAATGTCTTTATGTCTCCCTTACAGTGATAGATGTGACGTATCTTCTCGCCGCCTCCGCAGACGGACACTTGCTGCTAGCAATCTGAGAGATTGACATTTAAATAGTAGTCAAATGTACTTAAAAAATATTGTTTTGGTCTCTTGATCAGTTTTATTAATTAAAATTAGCTAAAATAACACGATTTTTCTTTAAATGTTGCCTTCACTGACGTCTGCTGCAATTTGTTTTCAGACGTGATGCTGCTGCATGGAGTGGGACACTTCATCAACTTAACCCTATGTTTATAGCACATATTTAGATATCATTGGAATTAACACGCTGACTAGATTCTGCATTACCTGAGAAAGAACAGCAGTATGTTTGCCTTCACAGCTGAGACGCTAGCATTAGCAGTACCTCAAGCAGTTAAAACAATGTGACAAAAAATACAAGTCTGACCCAAATGTTTAATGTCATGATAGTTGCCATCTATTTTGTATTTGTTTATGTCCATCTGGTCACATTTATGCATTCGTTAGGCAAAGAAGTTGCATATTTAATGCTGACTGATATGTTCATGCAGCTGACAGAAATAAGAAACACAGCGCTACGTT